TTAGAATTTGAGAAAACAAATAAAAACAATACCGGAATTAAAAAAAAAAAAAAAAAAAACTCGTACGGGGCCCCTAGCGTACGAGTAGCGTACGAGTACAAGAGTACGAGTCCGTACTCGTACGAGGGTGCGTACAAGTTGCAACGTAGTTTATTACTTTTTAAATGCAAAACGGGCCCCACACACTGTTTTACGCATTGCTAGTCGGTCCCGCAACCGTCACACCACTCCACATACATCGTTAGTGGGATCTCCCTCCAGGCTCCTGGTCACCTGTGGATATATCTAAAGACTGCCGCCCTTTAAAAAAAAAATAAAAAAATTAAGGGAACCGGTAGCACAGGACCATAGGTCCATGAGGGCTACCGGTAGTACAGTTGGGCGAGCTGGCAGAGCGGCAAAATTCGAAATTTGCATTGAATTACCCCCACGATTTATTTCACGGTTGAAATGATTTTTATTAATTATTTTAATATTTTTTCTGTAAAGATCACGACCAAATCTATAGACCCGTTGAGTTTCAGAGTTCTTGGGTCATTCTTCTGATTGCAAAAAATCGCGAAAGTTAGGTTTCTTTTCCAATTGGCCCATACGTGGTAGACTAGCAAAAATAGAAAATGTGACAAAACAGCGCGGCATTTACCTCATCGTTAATTTTTTTTTTAATTTTTCTGATATTGTTCCTGGAAAGATCACGGCCTAATCTACAAGATATCAAAGTTTCAAATTTGTTTGCCAATTTTTCGGAGTGTGAAAAATCGTCAAACTTCACGCTTGAAAATGCTTGGCCCGAACCCGCATGCGCGACGTTAGGGTTCGAACACACAGCCACGTGCCTGCGGCTTGACATCGGATACACTTTAAAGACAGCAGTCCCCAAAAAAAGACAGGGACCCAGTCCACCATAGTGGTTATAGCATCCGGCAATCGGGTATTTCGAAATCTGTGCGTGAGTTCAAACCCAAACCCAACCATTGTGCACGAACTTCAAATATTGTATACACTAAGACTAATATATGTATATATACTAATACTAACATGTGTGTGTGTGTGTGTGTGTGTGTGTGTGTGGGAGGGTGTGTGTGGGTGCGGGTGTGGGTGGGGGTGGGTGCGGGTGGGTGCGTGCGGGTGGGTGTGGGTGCGGGTGGGTGGGTGCGTGCTGTCGCCGGCCAGGCCTCCTTCCTTTTGCCGTCACCAACTCAAAAGAAGGGGCAACACGACAGGCGAATACGAAAAAAGCGAAAAATGAAAAAAAGACAGGCCAGACGATAGAAGAATACGACGGGAAAAGCGAAATCAAAGCAATGCGACGAAAAAGGGGGGAACACGACAAAATATTGCAATGGAATAAGAAAGAAAATAAAAAAGGAACCAACCGACGACGGAAAAAGGGAAAAGAAAAAGAAAAAAAAAACTGGAAATGAATTAAAAAAAAAAGGGGCGACGACTATCCGACGACGGGCGCTTCGAGATATTCCCTCGCATCAACGCCCGCCGCCGCCTCGCTCGATGGGCGCGCTCACTCGTTTTTTGGTGCGCTGGGAACAATTCGGTACGCGCGCCGCTCTGCACGCCGCCCCTCCCTCGATCACCTTCATCCGCTGGCACGAATCAAAACTTCGGCCCGATTCCGGCGCGCAGCGAACACAACCTCCCCCCGTGGGCCGCTCGCGCTGAAGGGATAGGATAGATATATATATATACAGGGTTACCTGACCGAACGTTCGGGGGCCCCCGGGCTGGTCCCCGAACGTTCGGGCGTTCGGGGTCCCGTTCGGGGGCCGAACACCTTCAGGTTTGGCTCCCGCCAAATTTTATTTCAGGGCCGAAAAATAAG